CTAGACCACGGCCTTGCCCAACACAAGTTATAAATTCGGGCACTGCCGGGAATCGAACCCGAGACCCCAGGATTACAAGGCCAGCGTTCTAACCGCTAGACCACCGTAAGCCACAATATCTAGAAATCACTGTCGGTCTGCAGGATTCAGCATGAGAAATGCCTCTGTCCGAATACTTGATGTCGAAGAAAACTCATCCTTTGGAAATCTGCGAGTATTAAGGAGTTTAAAAAATTTTATCGCACGATGAATAAAGCCTGATATAAATGGTTAATATAATACCTGTAGATACTCTCGCCAAAAGAATTCAAGGAAGAAGATGAATGGATATCACGCCTTCGTAATTTTAACCCCATTCAGGCCTCTAAATAATATTTAAACATTCAGTCCGTACCGCAAAGAAAACTTAACACTTCGCTATCACAAAGGTCAGTTCGTTAATGATGTTTAGTGAAATAATCGTTGGTCACTCTATAAATCATGCCAGCCAACCCCCCCCCCCCCAAAAAAAAAAAAAAAAATGAAAAAATCTGAGCAAAGTGTCACTGGGCTTTAAAGGATGAATGTTCCCTCCCTTTTACGTCCAGGTTTCCCAAGTGGTGTGACAAAAATACACTGGTTTGCATTTTTCATTTAACCCATGCGCGTTAAATGCAACACCGAATAACAAAATCAACACCTTCCTATTAATACGAAAATAAAAACATTCAAATGATCAAGTTCAGAATGCAGTCGACGTTAACTTCTTCAGGACGAAATCTGAAGGAACTGAACTGAACGCTGGCAAGTAAACACAGCGACTGGTAAAGGAGAATTCACACACAGACTTGGTGTGTTATTTAACCCAAAGTTGGCTGCATTTCTTTTCCAAATCGTGATGTAAAACACAAGGAACGCTTTTCGAAGCAATTAGCTTTAATTAAGGCTAACTTCCAAAGTCTCCACTGGACATCTATTTAATTAAAGTGATCACAAATCTTTGGCTGGAAACGCTGATGAACGATTATCGTAAAACTGCGAGAGAACATTGTTTGGTACGCGTTCAGCCACGCCATTTCATATCGGCCCTGGGGTTGCTGAAGGCGATGTTAAGAATGGAAGTATTTATTTATTATTTTAAAAATTTCCCCGTGCTCTGTTTTGAAGACGCACTGACGTTACTAGGGTACGTTTGGGGCGAGGTAGCGGGGGTTTTGCCTTCCTCCCTCGCCCCCCGCGCCAGGGTGGCTTACTGTGTGCGTCGGGTGCAATGTGGGTAGTTTGTTACATAAGTTTTGTTGCCCCCTGTCAACTACGCAGTTGGAAGCCTCCCATTGGTTACTTTCAGCCTGGGTACTCATCAGTCATTGGTCGCCTCTAGTTCGTATATGGTTCACCGCAGAGTTGTTCACGGGCTCGGCATATAAGTAGCGGAGATGATCGACGCTTTGCGTGAAGGTTGTGTGGAATCGGTAAGGAGTCGACGCCTGTGGCAGTTTGCGGGGACAGTTTTATTGTACGTATTTGAGTACACAATTCCTGTCTGAAGGATATTTCGTTTTTTGGACTGTTTTAATTTTGATTTTACGTGGGCATTGCAACGGTTTCGAAATTCATTAAAAAATTAGAAATAGTGAACTTCATAATTTGGAACTCAGACGTGTTCGTCACAAACAGACTCATAAATCAGCTTATCTATGTGAAATCAATATTAATAATGTATTGTATGGTGGGGTAGACTCATAATATCTTTTATTTATAAATTCTGTTGGCTCTTTATTATTATTATTATTATTATTATTATCGTTGGGGTGATTCAGATATCGTACTGCTCGATCATGTGTTCACAGATATTTATATTTCGATATAAAATGATCTTATGGTTGCTTCTGATATCTATCAACCCTTCGGCTCTGAATTAAGTGTCTTCGAGAACTCTGATATTCGGCCTACAGATTTTATTAGAGACCTTTGTGTCTTCCTTGTTTCTAAAATGTATTTCCGTCAGCGTGTAGAATGCTATAAACTATGTGTTGCTTTTATATTTAGACAGCCTTGAGAGTCTTTACAAAGGCCAAGTACTTGAAAATGCTTTTGTTGTTGGAACATTTTACCACAACCGACTCAAACAGACATCAGAGTATTCGGAAGAAATTGGGTGCCACGTGTTAGGACAGGGGCAAATGGATTAAGTTGGCTCAGGATCGTGGCAGGTGGCGGGCTCTGGTGTTGTCGGTGTCGAACCTGCGGGTTCTGCTATCAGGGAGTTAGTTAGTTAGTGTTGAAACACATTCTTTAATAATCATAATGCGTACAATTACAACTGTGTTTTGGAGAATTGACAGGAGAAATCTCGTTATTTTGATATATTATTCTTATAGAATATTTATAATTGTTAGCCTGTATCAACTGACTATTTCTTTCGAAAGTGTTGATGTTAGATTTTCAACAGGGCTACTTAACTTTCACGTAGTGAATGTCCTCCATTTGACTGTGACTTAGCTGTTATTGACGTTTGTAATAGGCGAAATTTTGACATGTCTGACAATAGATGTTCTTAGCCTATAAATTCTATTCCAATAGGCCAATATGTAATTACCTTGTATTGCCACATTCAGCATTGTGTACAAGAATATATTTTTTTTTAAATTTTATTTTATTTTATATATGTATTTGCTGACGACGTAAAGATTTATCCCAGCACTAAGAATGTTGACGACTGTAAAATTTTGGATAACGGCGTGAAACTCAATTTAGATTAAACTACGATAACTCCTTCTACTCCCAAGACAAACAAAATTCATTTTAATTGTAATTATGTAACACTCTAGTATCACGGTCTTCCTTCTCCAATCTTGATAGCCTTTTCGTTTTCTAAATAACTCTCGAGCTTTTTAAGATTTGAGCAGGCTGGAACTCTTTCACTGTTACTGACTCCTTCAGACTGGAAATAATTTGAAGGAAATTTGCAGCTTTGTGCTACAAAACATTTTTAATGGCGTATTTAACTATAAATATGAAGATATTTTATTTAGGTTAAATTTCGTAAGATTCAATTTTGAAAGGCAGAATCCTGAATGGTTTAAAAGCAAAATTAGTTGCTTATCTACTGGGTCTGTCAGAGACTTTTGTTTTTACTGTACATCGTAGCTTAAAGACCACAAGTCTTTCTGCTGTCATCTGCATCGACATCTTTAATAAATATCAGCCATTTAAATTAAATAATTGCTATATTTTCTTAAACCTCCTTTTTAAACAGTATTCATTGTGTTTTTCAGTTCAGTGCTTGTCTGTAATTGGCTTAAACCGAGTGAACTGAACTGAATTTGTTAATATTTAGGTTTTAATGCGAGGTGTGAACTGCTCAATGTATCTTATTATTACAGTTTGGGCAGTAACTTGTTTTTCCTTTCGAATTCTAAGAAAATGTAAAGGAAGTCGGAATATCTTCGGGGCAGAGAAGCATCACAGCTTATAACATAGACGCGTATCACTGAGTCAGCTTAGCACAATGTCGTATAAGCGCAGATCTGTTTTTGGTCAAATTTCTTGACAGACTATTTTGAGTACAAAAGGACGATACCGGAAAGTCAGGATCCTGTTTACACCGGGTTCATTTGCTGTTATATATATTTTCTGTGCCCAAAACTTTGCTTTCGATTATTTTAAATAAAAATCTACTATTAACAGTGTGTGTGTGTGCTACATGGAGATGTTTCTCCTAGTGTTTTGTTAAATTCATTTCATAGAAATGTGTTTCAAATGGAAGATTTGCAGCATTTGAACTATTTGAAGTTCCTGTGACGTTGCTGTGTCAGTGAGTCGAAAATAGAGAACCTCCCGACAACTTTTACAGTAAACCATTCACACCAAATTCAAACGAGACGAGCTTAGAAATTCTGCAGACGGTCTTCGCTCCAAGGGGACTTGAGTGCAAGATGGTGCTAACAGACACGATCTTCATTTGCAATAAATTCTTTGTCTCCCTTTCGTTTCCAGGACCGTCGGAAGACACCTGCAGACGATCAGCATGTGGCGTCGTTTGTCGACGTTTTCCGCTGCTTTATTGATGCTGGCTTCAGGCCCCTCCGACGTCCACTGCTCTCGAGACGGATTCAACATTTACAAAGGTTTGTAAGTGGCAGAGTCTAGTGATTCACCGGGCGGTTTTATCAACTCCAAATCTGAAATAAACGAAGCTTCCCTTGTCACTGGACGCCATCTTTCTTCACGTCAATCTCTTCCCTCGTCCGTTGTGGTCGTTCCGTGGCTTCCGGGCGGTTGCTCTAGGGGTGGATGGCTTGCTGCTTCGCTCGCAGATGTGGTATTAAATCAGGGTGTATTACGGGTGTTTGTGAAGTAGTGACTGGGAGGGCCACGAGAAGAACCTGAGGGTCTTGCACACGCTCGACACAAAATAAATTAAACCCCTTGTTCAAATCGGAGGCTGCTAACTCATGGCGACAATGACCCTCATTTCGGATTGCAGCTCATTGTGGTCTCATTGGCCAATTTACCCTTGGGCACTTCGAGGCTGGTGCCTACTCAACAAAATTAATGACGAGGAAGGCGGTCCTTGAAACGAGATACCCAAGTTTCACCCTTTCAGAATCCAAAATTTTTGCCTAGTGGTCAACACAGTCTCCGGGAATTGGTCCTGAGGCATCGAAAAACTCCAGGTACTTCATTGCACCAAATTGTAAATGTTCAGACTCTCCTCAGTCCTTCGCCGCGGATAATCCGTGTACCGTTTCGCGGAACTAGCCGATCTTCGCCTTCATTCCACGACACCCAGTAGACAAGAAATGGGCCAGATACGATTTTCTGAAACCCCTTTTCCAAAAAGTATTTCCTTTCAAAGCGACGTCCTCCAACAAAAGAACATAACGTCGCCTCTCAGCGCGCCTTCCCCTAAAGACCAAAACATCCTCCGAAACTTTTAAGCTGAACAAAAGAAACATTAAACCTTCCATCGATGTAACCAGAACGACAGAACTGTTAGGTTAGACACATCGCGTTTCGATGCCGCTATTGTGCATCATCCTCAGGTGCGTTACTGAAAAACTAATTTCACGCTTGAGTTATGCGTAATGGTGGCATCGGAATTCGTCTTGAGTAAATTACAACACAAATAAGAAATCGGTGATGACGTAACTCCCTTTTCTCGTTCCAGATATGCTGCGAGGTAAAATCGAGGGGGCGGAAGACGTCTCCAGCATTCCAAAGTTATGTAAGTGGGTTATTTACTCTCAGTCCGGATAGTCTGACGACGGCGAAACTCTGGATTGTGGCCTTTCGGGTTGTGACGCCGTGCGGCCCCTCAAGGTAGATTCTGCTGATTCTACGAAGCCTTCGTAACCGACTGCAAGAGTGCAGTATGTCACACACCGAAAGACCACAGCCCAGAGATTAGTTTCTCTAACTGCATTACGCCATGTCCTCAGATGACGTTTCCCAGTCACCTTTCTTTATCCCTTCGTTGCATGAGCCAGAAGATCGTTATTCGTTCTCTAATTCCTCCAGAAGAAGGTTAGGTTAGGTTAGGTTAGGTTAAGTTAGGTTTGGGTTAGGTTAGGTTAGGTTACGTTAGGTTTGGGTTAGGTTAGGTTAGGTTACGTTAGGTTTGGGTTAGGTTAGGTTAGGTTAAGTTAGGTTTGGGTTAGGTTAGGTTAGGTTAGGTTAGGTTAGTAAGGGTCAGGACACCAGAAGTTAAAATGCGTCAGTTTTCCAGCCTGTCTCTTGCATTTGAAAGAGTCTCTGTGCTTTTATTGTCACAAATCCTCCCGGTACTGATGAAAAATTCTGCAATCAATGCACCAACCTGTTTTATGACAAATAGCTTGTGTAGCAACGAATCTTAGACAACTAACTTTATATTGCCTTATTATTTTTATTATTGTCCCATCTTCAGCCACTTTCTGGGGTATTTACCTCCATGTACCCGAGACAGACATTGCCCCTGAGTCACATAGTGCAGCAGCTATTTCCGAAATACATTTTGTTTTTTTAATATTTGTTGCATGGATAAAATAGATTTATCATCAGCGTCTTTCGAATGATATATGTTGTTCCTAGAATGGCAGTTTTTTAAAGTTCCCGAATGTAATGTTCGCCCGGGATGTAGGCCAAATATTTTTTGAATTATTATTATTGTTATTATTGGAATTTGGACAGTCTTTCGCCCTGTAAATTTCCACGATTGTAAATCATTAGAGAAATCCCATTATTTTCACTTCAGTACAGAATCGTAATAAATGAAAATGAAAATCTTTTTGAGACACACGTGTTTCTCCACTCCCATCTCAACAGAAACCTAAAATGAATGCATGTGGTAGAATTGTACGTCGTATTAATGAGGAATATAATTTAAATATAATGGCAAAGATAATGTAAATTAAAATTGTAATCTTATTTTTAAGAAACCATAACCCTAGAGAATGTGAAATGGTACTTGCTGGAGCAGAAATTAAAAAGGAATCAACAGGTGACTGAATTCACTTCTGATGAAGAGAATTAGTGTAAAAAGTTGTTGGTGACAATCGACCATTGGATTTGTATCTTTCATAGGACATTAACATTTCGGTTAGCATCGTTAATTAAGTCAGCCATTGGTCAAATGTTTCCTTGGGAACTGAAGGGCGAGGTTTCGCGGTACACGGTTTTAAGGCACGTTTTTTTTATTTAAATCTAACCTAAAAATTCCATTTTGAACTGTCCAATCTTTTATTTCTGGAACATTTTCCATATCTGGATTCTCTTATGTTTCGTCTTATCGTGTCGTGTCAATGTAATTTACAGTTTTACGTGTCTGATAATTTATTACATTTTTATATAATTTAAAACTCAGAATAATATAAAGTCGCGCGTGATTGGTCTTCAGTGTCTGCTGTAGAATAATGAGTGCTTCAGGGCCTGTAGAGAAAAGTTGTCCTTTTGTGAAACTTAATGGCGCTGCTCGTAGCAAATTAAATCAGCTGTCTGGTGCCGGTTCGAGGTTATCGGGTGGTAATGCCATTACGTACGTCCTGCATCACTGCTATGGCGTACACTCCCCGTAATTTGAACCATCGAACCAGCAAAGTGGGACTTTTCGGTCTCTGAATATCACGGAGGTCTGCAGTCCGTAGTAAAACCTCTCTACCCCGGAGATCTGAAATTATAAACAGATGTGCTAAGATGATTTCAGGGCATGTTATTAACATGCTCACACTGGGTAACGTTCTTCGCCCCATGTACCGATGTCTCTCCTGCCCGGGCAGTTGTCTTCCCGTCTGAACTAGGATTCAAAATGATTCTTCACAATCACATAGATGCCCCAGTTCCGGACTCAGTAGGTTGGATGATCCAGAAGAGTGGGACAATTTGTAGGCGTTAACCAGCGCGTACTCTAAAGTAATATTCGAAAGCAAACTGAGAACTAACTTTACAGCATTTTCCCATGTGTGTGGTCATGTCTTGTGCTGACCTGGATACACCACGAGAAGTAATTGCACGGAAAATTCTGACAAATGTTCCATAGAACGAGATGAATCTGTACGCATTTACATAATAGTAGTTCGCGTAATAATAGGTCTGACGTAAACATTTTCTTTACGAGGACAGAATGGACTTCTGTGCGCGCCTTTGCAATTATTTTGGAACCAGGTGACCGATTTTCATGAAATTTCGGCGAATTTAATTTTATTTGAGGTATGCAACCTTCATATATTTCAGGGGCCTGCCACTATTAATAAGGGAAATGAATTAAAATTTCTGACATCCAAGCGAAAATGCAAATAAGGTCATTTATTTTTCTGGGTGTACATTGGCGTAAGAACTCGTGGCGTCCACTTACCCTACGGTGTGATGTCGATAAGTGATAAGTCTCTAGGAGTACAAACAAAAAGTTTGGTACGTTGACAGACCACATACATAAGTAATTTACGTAAAGACTTCATACGAATTCTGTTTTGTTTAAAAATGCAATGATGATGTTAGACGTTTAGATTATTTCGAAACGATTAAAGTTTCTGAAATACATTACTGTGGACAAAAGTTATTATTGTTTGTGGTCGTACGTTTTTGGTATCTATCCATGCACATGGTAGCATCTAAAGGAAGGTAGAAGGTTAGCAGATGTTCCACGGATTATTTAACTACTTCGAGACTTCTTGCAAGAGCAGCGCTCTGGCTGATGTTAAATAAGTGCGCCGAACAACACCATTGTAAGTTTCGAACTTCCCCACAAGAACTATTATACTTGCAGGTATCTTCGTCGTGCACAGGACAATTTTTTAAAAGCCTGAAGTTTGCGATCAGGAAATTTGTTCTAGTATTTATTGAAAACTGCGTTATGACGATGTTGAAGATCTTCTTGGCAGTGACACCAACTGGTGTTCCTAGAATCTAAAGGTTACAAAAGCACCGAGATGCCAGAAAAATGCACGTTAAGGAGAATTATGTTTTCTCTATTTCACACTGAAAGAATTGAATGTGATTTTGAAAATATGACTTTCATAAATTTTTACGTTAGAAAGTGAAGTTAATATGTTTAAATATACGCTACGTTCTTTATATTTGGGCTCTGAAACCTCTAGAAGAATTACTTCTGTCCCATTGAAAAGCTCGTCTGGTGTACACGACAATCTTAGTAAAACACCGAATTCACTTTCTTACGAAATAAATGCATTGACTTCGTTCTTCATTAGAAATGCTGTTTGCTTAATTTCCGCCTTCAGATGTTTGGATGCATCTGTGCCACTAGGAGATGATCGGACCGTACTTAAATTTTAGCCTATCAGATTTTTATTCTTCGTAATTAATTACTTGCATTTTATAAATTATTTTACGTCGCCCTGTTAATGTTCAGTTCACTGGCCGGTTGTAATAATTTTCGCATCTCTGTGAAACGTCTAAATATCCTAGTATTTCGTATCTCTCGTGTCTCTGACCACTGATAGTGCGAATCGTGTTTCTGCTGTTATTCATTTGAGATTTAGGTCTTGTAGCGTCTTCGTTTGTATAACTACTGCTGTTAATTTCTGTAGTTTCAGAAGCAATTGTTTCCGAAACTACGTCTTTATTTCATCAGTAAAAGAGAAATACCAATTAAAATTCTGTGATCGGCCACACTTGGGCTATGCTTTATCGGGCTCTGTGTGCTGGACGTTGACTGAAGAAATCAAAAATAATTTCAATAATTATAGGAGCAACTGGAATTGTCTCCAAGTCACTCAGAAAATATCTGGCCAACATCCGGGGCGAACACGACATCAGGGAATTTAAGAGAACTGCCATTTTAGGATCTTCGTACATCTTTCGAAAGACCCTGTCGTAAAATATGTAGTAATCTGTAACACTAAAAGTATGTAATACATGTAGCACTTGTTAAAAACAAAATGTATTTCGGAAATAGCTGCTGCCCTATGTACCTCGGGGGCAAGGTTTGTCTCAGGTACATGGAAGTCTCTCTCTCATTTCCATCAGTCTTCCGACTGGTTTGATGCCTATCTGGCCCCAATATCTTCAATTCCACATATTTCTACAGCCCACATTCTCAAAAATCTGCTTCACATATTTCAATCTTTGTCTCCCCTTACAATTTTTCCCTCCAACTGTTCCTATCCAATCCTGGTTGCCTCAAAATGTGTCCCACCATCCCAAGGAAGCAAATTCCCTACAAAGTGGTGAATAGATGGAATAATAATAATAAAGATGTGACAAGAAATGACGAGTGCATTTAGACTTTCAGAGAGAACAGTCCGACCATCATTAGAACAGGAAACTGCATTCGTTGAAAGAATATCCCTTCTGGACGGTAATTATTTTCTCTTTTGTTACAGTCTTCTACCGCACTCCGTTACTGGGCCAGCAGAGCGACGGTCGTGGTGAGTCCTAAGACATCCTGTCTTGTCTGTTTTGTGCAGAGTGAGAAACGAGGCTTTCATTTGATTAAAGTTTACGTCAATTTTATACCAGTTCTGTAGACTCTGCAAATTTCTCTTACAATGTTCAGAAATACTTACAGGAGTGTGGAATTCATATTTTGTTTCTTGATTGTTTAGCAAATTGAGTTACCGGAAAGTTGTTGCGTGGTTGATTAAAACAGGACGAGGTGGGGGCTGATTGATTAATTTACCAGTTGTTCTTGAGCGCTCTACGCCATGGTTTTCGCTTACGAGAGGAGGACGTTGCTGAGATGAGACTGTGGTCTTATGTGATCAGGAAGATGAACTGCAAGCCCATATCTCCGGATGTAGCTGACGCAAGTTTACGTTACATAAGTCTTCGTTATTTTTTCAGATTACGTGGTGGACCGAGATGCTTTGCAGGATACTCTGCTGGCGGTCGATACAGACGCAGGTGCAGAGGACAGCCCCAAAAGCGGTGAGTGCTGGGTGTTTAACTTCGCCTGTAACACTTTTTCGTAATCTCCATTGGAACAATCGCCTTAAGTTACGGGCTCTCAGACCTACTCAGGTCTGCGTGTATGTGACGTTTGTTATGACGTCACTAGATCTATGTCTGGAGTCTGGAGTCTGGAGCACATCACACGTCTTTTCACTCGGTGCTAAGCTTCGTGTGAATTGGTAACCGTTTCTAAGGTTATATGAAACGAAGTTCCATATTCCGTGTCCTGTCAAATTAACAAACTTACTGACTTCCCGCTAATACTAAAGCCGGCCAATGGGCACTGTCTGGGGTGTTTCCCACTCACTTAAATTTTGTAAGTTTGTATCATTTGTTTCCCTTATCAGAGCTGCATGCCAAGCCTTCTTAACATCAGCACATGCGTCACTGTTTCAAAACGCCACTCGAAGAAGAATGGGTATAACTAACTAACTAACTAGATAGTTTACCGAACCCGAAGGTTCATCACCGAAGTAACCAAAGCCCTCTACCGGACCCTGTCCTGGGCCAACAAAATCCAGTCTCCTTCAACTCCTATCTCCCATAGATCCCGCCTGACATTATCCTCCCATCTACGTCTAGGTCTCCCCAGAGGTCTCTTCCCCTCAGGCTTCCCAAATAGTGGACCCAACCAAC